GCTCCTGACTCGCTGGGCAACTTCAGGTAAGTCACGTCCCCTCTCAGGGCCTCAGTTCCTCATCTGTCAAGCGAGGGTCGGACGCGCGGGTGCCGAAGATTCCCGCGCTGTGACAGCGCCGCTCCCGCCCCGAAGGGCAGGGCTCCGGGAGAGCCTGCCCCAGGCCCCCTCCGGGCCGCCTCTGCCCGCACCGCGCCCGCCGGACCCTCACCCGGAACCCCTTCTCCTTGTCCGCCTTGATTTCGGCGTCCAGCTGCCGCAGCGTGTGGGTGAAGCCGCGGAAAAGCAAGTACTCGCGGACCAGCTCGTCAGTGCGCTCCACGGCCTGCGCCATCGCTGCGCCGGCACCGTGAGCCACCGCTGCTGGCAGGGAAAAGAGGGGCAGGGCCTGGGCCGCGCTGGGCGGGGCCTGGTGCGGCCGCCGTGCTTGTCACACAGCAGCTGGCCTACCAGCCCGCACGCTTCGCGCAGCGCCCTCCGGTGGCCCCGCCCCCGCCACTTAAGTCATCGTCGCCTTCTGGGAGGAGCGACGAGGAGGCGTGCTGCTCGCCCGAGTTTCCTGGCTGCAGTGGCGGCAGCATTGTCATCCACGGCAGCTGCCATCCTAGTCAAGTGGGGCTGGACCTTGGGAAACGTCCCAGAGTCGCGGGGCGGGCAGGGGGCTGAGGTGCCCTGTTCATTGGCATTATATCGCGAAATGCTCTGTATCCTGGCCTCATTTTATAAATGGGGGAAACCGGAGTCCTAAGAGGTGGAGTGACTTGTGTCGAGTCACACGGTCAGGTGTGTCACCAAAGAGTTCTCACTCCCCAGAAAGCCTTGCTTTCATTAATAAGATCAGTCAACTGCATGGCAAGATAACCAAGATACACTGTTAAGAGAGAAAATGGAAGTTTCAGAACAGTGTGTATGATATGGTCCCAGTCTTACAAGATATGGTCTTATAAAAAATATATATATATATATGTGTGTGTGTGTGTGTACATTTTTTAAGTTAAGGAAGAATATACACTAACCAGTTGTTGTTTTAAGAGGTGAGACTGTAAGGAACTTTCACTTCCTATTTTTTACTTCTTTTTTTTGCAGTGTGAACAAAGTGTTTATATTTTTGAAAGCTGGAAAATAGCTAGTACCTTTGAGCCTTACTTTCCTCATCTGTAAAATAGTGACAATGATACTTGCCTTGCAGAGCAATAATGAAAATATAATAAGATAATGTTTGTAAAAAGCCTAGCACAGTGAACAGCCCTTTGGCAAAATGCAGCATTTGCTCCTTTCTGCTTCCAT